TAAAATAACCACTTGCACATTGCAACAAACACATCATCATTTGCTTAAAAAGAGTTATAATTACAGTTGACGAAGCATGGACACCATAAAAAATGCATTAGTTTGGCTTGACACATTAATTACCTGCTTTTGCAGATGTTTTTATGTATTGTTGTGTGAACAGTTTACAAAATAATTACAGGAAAGTCATATGGAAAATAAACTAAGTGGGTGGTTTCTCATCTAAATATTTTCATTCATGTGGATCTGTGTGAGGCACAGCTGCTCTACAGCAAAAGCAGAGAGACGGATGCGGATTCTCGAAGGGTTTTTTATGAGATGGGCTCTGTCATCAGTATCACCACATTTTTCTATGTTTAGCACACAGTTTCAAAACATTAAAATGAGGGGGTTGGTTTAATCCCTGTGATTATGGAAAAGACCTTGATTCTGATCAGAAGAAGTGTAGTTATCTATAAGCATTTTAGAATAAGCCAAACATAACTAAAACTCCCTAAATGGAAGACCACTGCTATTTTCGTACTAGCAGGTAATATTAGGCACTTTGAGAAAGAGTTAATCATCATTATTTTTTTAATTGATTTGAGAGAGAGAGAGAGATCGATGTGAGAGAGATACATTGGTCGGTTGCCTCCCGTAGGCATCCTGACGGGATCGAACCTGCGACCTAGGTGTATGGGCCATGACCGGGAATCAAACCCAGCGGCCTTCCCACGCATGGGATGACACTCCAGCCAACTGAGCCACACCGGCCAGGGTTGTAATTACTTGAGTTACCTGGTTTTATACAACATAGCTTAAATTATGTCTTAATAATTAAACATAGAGTCTTGTATAAATTGCAAAGAAGTTCAGCGTATCTGTTCTCTTAGGAAGTTTTGACAACATAAATCTGCTTTTCCTCAGAAGCTTACTGTGTTGCCATTAGTAGTCTCACATGTGTTTCATTTGAAAAATAACCAGTCATTGTGCAGACACATTTCCCAAAATTGTAATTGTCAAACAATAAAAAGAGTTCGTAGACTTCACTCTATTTTACACAATGGTTTTTAATTATTTAGAATATCTGCACTGTATTTTCCTCATTGATAACTGTTCTAACAATTTTTTCACAAAATTAATTAAAAATGTAGATTTTCTTTTTTGTTCAACCATGCCACTTGTATGTTATGTTCCTCTCTATTCCTTTTTATGCATTTCACCTACTACACAAATGATAAAGACAATAATTACACACATTTTCTGACATGCATTTTATGTAGCTATTGTTTAAGTTAGGGAAAGAGGGGATTGAAGCATCTCTAGGCTTAAAGGTATTGTTATCTGACCATGTAATATTGGTGCAAAATCATTCATTTAGTTTTCCATTCATTTGTTCAGGAAAATTTTATTGAGGCCCTTCAATATGTAATGTTCTATGACAGCGTTGAAATGACTAAACATTGAGTTGACTATGTGTCTGGAACACAATAGATGCTCAGTAACTATTAGGTATCTCTCTGAAAAGGGGTATGGAGAACTTTTCACTGTGGTGGCTTACTTAAAGAAAGCCAGTTGCTGGGGAGGATTTTCTTTGGTATCCAAAAATGGGCCCCTCTGGGAGTATTGCTTGACACAATTCTTTGAATTGTTTAAATGTAGAGATGAAGAAAGATGGGATGGAGCCTATTGTAATTCTGGTATCCACTAAGTCAATTTAATTTTTAAGGTGGAGATGCATTAAAAGTATGTGTGAAACTTTTAGTATTGAGAAGAATTAACTGCTTATAATCAGTAACTCTGGTGATCACTTTACATCATCTCAAAGAAAAAATATGATTCAATGTCACGACGTCAAGAAAAAAATGCTGGACTTGGAGAGTCTTCCGTAGATTTGCTACGTCTCTTAAGATGTCTCTTCCAGCCAGTGAAAGAGTGAGTGCAAGCCTTTGGGGGGGTTGGGTACTTTCCGTATTTACCAGTACAGCAGATAAGAAAATTCTTAAGTTTGTGGAGATACTATTTTTTATTTTATATCACAAAGTAAAATTTTAGCTCTTTGGTTTTAATTCTTTATTCCTTTTCCTTCATTATATCTCTAGCATTTAAAAATATAAAAATAATTTATTTATTTATTTATTTATTTTTAGAGAGAGAGAGGGAGGGAGAGAGAGAAACACCGATTCGTTGTTCCCCTTATTTGTGCCTTCACTGGTTGCTTCTTGTATGTGTCCTGACTGGGGATTGAACCCGAAACCTTGACATATAAGGTCGATGCTCTAACCAACTAAGCTACCTGGCCAGGGCCTTAAAATCTTTTTATCTTAATCTTTTAGAAGCCATTTGATTAGAACATAAGGGACACTTAGGGGATTATTTTTTAATTTTTTAATTTATTGACAAGAGTTTATTGTCACAAAGAGACTGGCTAGGCAGTGTTGTTTTGAAGAGATTGAATGATTAATTTTTGGGGTACTCCTCTTTAAAATTGCAAAACAGAAAAAGAGATTAGGGAGCAGAAAGAAATTGTTGAATCTAAGAAAAGGCTCTCTGTGGGCATTTAATACTTTATCATCTAATGATGTGTTAGTTTTCATTCAGTATTATCAGTGGTAGAAAAACTGCTAAACAGCATTGAAAACAATCATAATTGAGGCAATGCGTGGTTATGAATTTTATTACTTTGGCTTTTACTATTCTTTGGTGACTCTTTGAACTTGGAGGGGTCACATAACTTGGTTTTGTGAAAACATTTATAGGGGGTTGGTTAAACGCAAATGGGAAGCAGATCCCCTGACTGACTGACCGGGTTTGTGCTATACACGGAGAGGCTCATGGCTCGAGTTGTGGTAGATGTTTAAGACAATAAGTCACTGTTCTCTCAAGGTTGCCTTTTGTTGGCAGAACACTTAGCATAAGTCAGGAATGGTAGGCTGTATCTGAAAAGAACAAAATACCATTAAATATAATAAATCAGCACTTAAAAATATAATCACCAAGGCCATCTCAAACAGGCATATTCTTTTATGTGACCAAAGTTGTAAAAAAAAAAAAAAGTATAAAAGGAAATACCGACAAACAACAACTCACTCCAGCAAACCCAGGTTGATTTGGATGTTCTTTCTAATGTGCTAAGTCTGAATGAAACTACACATGCTTGACCAAGAGTGCAGCGGCAAGGCCCCCGGGGAGTGTTTGTAGGGTGGAACTAGAGAGAAGAATATAAGATGCGACTAAGTGGAGTCTTATGTGGAGATTCAATGCAGGTGGCGAAAATCAAGTACAGTCAAAATACTCTTAAAAATCTCTTAAAATTTCCCATGGAATACAGGTGTGGACATACTGTCACCGAAGAGGTGTAGCGTGGCCAGTCCCTCAGCATTGCTTGTCTTTTGATGAACCAGTGACGAGGCGGTAGCTGGATTCTTTTAGCTACAAGGGTAGAATAACAGAATTGGAAGAACTTTTTATTCTAGTTTGTGCAACTGATTTGCATTAGTTCCATGAATAAAAATGCCTTTCTGCTTTTTTTGTGGGTAAATGGGCAAAGGCCTTTGTTTTACAAGGAAATCCTTGGGTAACAAGGATGTTTGAGAGACCAGTTTTTCTCAGGTCCCTTCTCTTTTACACAGTGTGGAATTTAGCCTGTCTGCAGCTGTCATTTTCCTGTGTGCGTGTCTGTCACCTCCCGTCTCCCCTCCTCTCTGACTGTCCTCTGCTATGTGTCCGGTAGGCTCCTGCCTCAATTCCTCCTGTTCTTCCTCTTCGTCTTTGCTTCCATGCTCATCTGTACTTGCACTGTGCACTGTGCTCTGTGCTTCTGTTGTCGTTCTGCTCAGTATCAGTAGAGTAACCTGATTCAAATTCAGTTACCCCAAGTGTGGTTTCTGGAATGTAATCCAGGACACTTCCCACTATATGATACTTGCCTTTTTATTGACTGTCTGTGCGTTAAGTGCTTTGATAAAAATGAGTCATGAATAGTATGAAATATTATTTAGGAAAGGAACCTTAGAGATCATAAGTAATTTAGTGACTCTCAAAGTTTTTGACTTTCAGCCATGAAATGTTCACAGTACCATATAAAATGAACAAAAGCATAGGATCATCCTGCTCTGGAGAGGGGAGAGCCCAGTACTCCATGGGTTGGACCACCTCTTTTTTGAGATCTTGAGTGTTCTGGAGGCAACTTTTAAATACCTTTTGTTTAGGGAAACAGAACCAGACAGGGTAAATAAATGACTTGTCACTTTCACATAATTACATATTACAGGGATTTCAATCACATTCTTGTTTTCAGTTGTAAGGTGAGTGACAATTTGTTGTTAATGAAAAAATCACAAAGCTTACAAAAATCAATTAGAGTGAATTCAGAGTTACCCTAAATAATTGTATTCTTCAGTTTGGTGGTACTTTTACAGCATATCATATCCATGTCATAGCTTTTATTAAACATCTATTGTACTTAGTACTATTTGTTGAGTTAGACAACTGTCTGGACTAGGCTAGTGTTTTATCTGCAGAGTTTTTTACACTACATTTCTTACATATCTACCCCTCTTACAAAATAGTGTTGAATTCTCTGTGTACATATTTCAGTAGGAGAATTTCAGAATTTGGATAAATAAAATTCATGTAGGTATTATTTAGGCCTTGCTTGGGAATGGAAAGTACAGCATAGAAAATATAGTCAATCATATAATACATATACATGGTACCAGGTGGGTACTAGACTTATTGGGGGGACCACTTCCTAAACTATATAAATGTTTAACCACTATTGCTGTATACCTGAAACTAATGTAAAACAATATTGAATGTCAACTGCAATTGACAAATAAAAAATACTTAGACCTTGCTGTATTAATAACTTCGATGTCTGTTCAAGTTTTGAATCTCTCTTCTTTTCAGTTAGAAATGTGAAGCAGTGGTGCATTGGGTAATGGGAGGTTACTCTTCAGGTTGGATAAAAGAAAATGTATTTATTTTCCCCTGTCCTGAGTTTTGTTTTCCCCTTTTAGGAGAGTCCAGCCCTAGCCGGCGAGAAGCTGTGAAGAAAAGAACAGCAGAGTATCTCATGCGGGCCGAGAGCCTCTCGAGCTTTTACAGAAAACCTCGGTTGGATGATGCATCTCAGGTATGTCTTATGTTTCGTGTGCATTGCCTTTCGCCACTTTTGCTGCCTTGCCTCTCAGCTTTATTTCTAATTAGAGTGTTTGAGAATTTTGGTCTTTGGAATTTTATCAGTAATTTTCTTCAGTTATTGGTGAAAGAAAAGCATTAAAGCAAACCACCAAAAGTGGAATAAAATGGGGCTTGTTTTCTACTTCTTTTTCTCGGCCCTTTATTCTTACTCTACCCCTAATAACCTAATTTATATGGAATTGTATTTGAAATTTTTTAAAGTTAAATTACGATTCTCATACAATTCCTGTACAGTTTCATTGATTCGTGCTAAAACTAACCATTTAAGCCTAAATCCTGCAAGTAGCTGCATCTGATTACCCAGAATTATGAAGGGATGTTTAGATTATTTGGGACCGCCCTTTGTCTTGTCTCAAAAGCAGACGAATGCTTGAAACATTGTGGCTCAATATTACTGGTTTATATCCTATCTATCTGATTTGGCATGTTTCTGGAAAAAACTTTTCTGTTATTTTTTTCTTTATATTAAACAAAGTTTTTTTGATGCAATTTAAGAATCATATCTCCTAGAGATGGGAGAAAGTATTTATTTTCTTAATTGATCTAAGAGGCAGGCAGGCTTGTTCAGATCCCCAGAAGCCATGGAAGATTGGACAAGATGCTCAACCACCTCGTAGCTTCAGTTGCTACATCTGAATGATGAGGATTGTAGTAATTCCATGCTGGGTTCTTGTTAGGATTCATTGAGTTTAACTAAATCACCCAAAAAATGGACACGCACACACACACACAAATACCAATCAGGTGCCCACCTCGTAAAGAGACCCTCCTATAAGCCAAACTTATAAGACTAGATTAATAAGTTTTCCCCTTATTTTTCATCTCCTCTTGTGTACTGCTTTATAAACTTTATCTTTTTTTTTTATGCTTTATATACCTTTTGAAAATTATAAAATATTTCAATTTTCTAGTTAAAAAACAGCCCAATATTTAATCTTGATTTGTTGGACCATTAAAACTCTTCGTTGCTGTTTTTCTGAACCCTTTTCATTTCCTGTGTGACCTTTTAAAACATTCAGTTATCAAAAGTATACTTATCTGTTCCTTTTGGAACAAAATGATTATATTCCAGCTTAGAAGCATTATGCTTTTGTGACTTGTTCTAACGTAATGAATATGTTTTAGATAAGATACCTGCTGACTCATTTTCAGATTGTTATTGTGACTCTTCTGTATTGTTTATCAATCTTTTCCTATTTCTATTATTGTTTTAATTACATTGTTTAATTCCTTTAACTCTTCAGTATGGAATTATATCTTTTTAAAATGAACTATTTATCTGAAGATTACTTTGAATTCAATTCTTATTGTTTGTGGAGTTGGCAACCCCCCAGGTGTGCAATCCTGATGTGCACATTCTCCATTCTATTTTTAGGGACATTATAAATGTATTAAATAGGATGGGTCTGTATGAACGTACTTGTTTTATTAAATCATCTTGTATGTAAATATTCTAAAAGTTTTACAGAGTCAAAGTTACCAGTATTCTGTTCTTTCCATTAACAGTAACTTTGAATATTCTGCCTGCACTTATTCATTCAAACTCCCTGCTTTTGCACCCCCTGTTACAGTTCCTCATAATCACTTTTATGAGCAATAATTTATTAGGAAAATAAACGTATAAAACTAACTGTATAGTTTTTGACTTGGAGAAAGGAACCATGAAGTATGTCAGTCAGAATTTCCCTTCAAGCATAGCTTTTAATGAAAATAAAACTAAAGAGGTATACTGTAGGAAAGTTGGTTGTATTAGGTTTTATATTAACTCACTAAGCATCTATTAAGACTCTGTGTCTACAAAAGCAAACTAGGTACATTTTGGAGTCACACAAAAGATGATGACAGTCTCTGCTCTTGCAAACCCTATAGCATAATTGAGACCCAAAATATGTACCTAATTCAGAAAATAAAAGAGAGAATGGCAAGAGCTGTGTGGAATAACGGGAACTTGGATCAGAAAGGGTCAAGAGGGGTACCAGATTTGATATACTAGGAATTTTTTTCAGTTTTTAGGCAAGAAGACTAGAGGAGAGGTTGTCTTGCTAGAACAAGATGTTTTTCTTTTATGGTAAGCAATTTCTTTTTATTTTCATTTTGTATTTTATTCTAGTAAACTTGGCCCTTATTAGGTCAGGGACATGCTTGATTATTTTCTTGTCTAGAATTGAACTTAAATTTCTTTTAGAGGTTTTTGATCAGCTTGGTGAATTCATTACTTGTCTCCGTTAACTTTCTTTGGGCCTTACTTTCAATGAACACAGCGAGAGGACTGGTATAAATGATTTCTGAGGACCTCTTAGCTCTTAAATTCTTTGCAAAGCAAGTACTATTTCTCTTTTGAATCCATGTGCAAACATTTCTTTCCAGCCTGGTTGATTAAGAAAATAAAGGGATCCTTTCTGGTTTTAAATGTTTTGATTACTGTTTTCCCTTTTGGTATAGGTCTCCAGGTCATGACTAACTCCACTCGAGTTTTCTGTGGTGGTTTAAGCTTTTGCTTTATTGAATTTATTTATGAGACTCTTTCATAGTAAATATAGAAGTCCTGAGTTTCCCCGTCATTGATGGTAATATCTTTTTCAAATAAGGACAGGGAGGAGCAAAAGCTCTCTTCTACTATTTTTCTTTATTACTTCATTACTTCTTTACTGAGAGGTGCCAAGAAAGGGACAATTTCAGAAAAAAGGAAAAGATATTTGTTTGAAGTAAAGGTGAATTCTTAACTGAAGGAGACAGGTTTTTTAAACTTTAAAAAATTAAATTGGAGATTACTTTGAATGATTTAAGAATGAATATTAAAAGGGGATTTCCCTGGAAAAGACTGGCTATAGCTTTTTTTTGTTGCTATTTTTAGCTCTAGAAATTTTAAACTCAAGATCAATGAAATTTAGAAAAAGAGGGTAAATAGTCTAAATTTAGGACATCAAAGACTGTGTAGTTTCTAAAGTGTAAATATATTTTTTTGTCATGCAATTATCAGGTGTGAGTGAAAATTAACATATAGAATGTATGCCTTTCCTGATTATTTTGTAGATTTTGAATATAATTGCTATAATGATATTGAAAATAGTTTTCTGTTGTGCAATTTGTTTGCTGGTATTATTGGCATTTCTTAATTCTTTAGAGAAAAATATTTAAAATGAGTTTGTATCACCCTTAGTTAGACATGAGAAAGCAGAGCTGGCAGTCAGGGGTATTCCAGATCAGTAATAGGACTTCAGTGAAAAGCTGGGGCACATTTACACCATGAAATACTGTGCAGCTGTAAAAAAGAAGGATCCCTTGCCTTTTGAGACAGCACAGAGAGACCTGGAGAGTTTTATGCTAAGTGAATAAGCCAGGCAGAGAAAGACAAGGATCACATGATCTCACTCATATGTGGAATCTAATGAACAAATTAACTGACGAACAAATAGATTCAGAGACATGGAAGCATGGAACAGGCTGAGGAATCTCAGAGGGAAGGGGGGAGGGGAAGTGTGGGAAGAGATTAACCAAAGGACTTATATGCATATATGCATAACCCATGGACACAGACAATAGTACAGTGGGCCTGGGGGGGCAGGTGCAGGGTGGATGGGTCAATGGCGGAATAGGGGGCATCTGTAATACTTTCAACAATAAAGATAAATTAACAAAAAAATAAAGAGTCATGCTTGAAATGTGATCTAAGAGAGGCTTTAGGAGGCTGGGTATTGAGGGTTAATAGCTCCTAATGAAAGTCTTGGCAAAGCCAAAAATCTACAGATGAAGCCAAGTTCAGAAACTAGTGTAGTTAGCTATCAGGGTTCAGAGTGTGGGTTCTAGGTAAGTTCTTTGCAGTATTTTTCTTTTGCCTTTGATTACTTATTTCCTTCCAAGTAATGGTGACTTACTCTCAGATTATTTAAGGAGAAACAGCTAACCCTACTTCAAATGTGGTTGCTGGACCAGTAGCATCACATTACCTGGGACCTTGTTGGAAATGCAGAATTTTAGGGTCCCCCCAGACTGAGTGAATCTGAATCTCCATTTTAACAAGGTCCTCAGGCAACGTACATATATGTTAAAGTTTGAGAAATATCGTACTAACAGCTTGATAAGAATAGGTATAGATCACATTGAGGACAGGGAATAATATCAAGTGAAAAAGACCGTGGGCAGGATAAACAGCAATTTAAAAAACCCCTTTAAAATAAAAACAAAGGTAAGCTTCACCTAGTCATTTAGAAAATGCAGAACAGGAATAGTGAATAGGTTTTACTGTTGTGCCAACTCTAACCCGCAGTAGTGGCTGCCCAGGAGCTCTGTGTAGTGAGAGAGTGTGGGATTCACAGAGATGTCTCCCTGGGCTTGAGCCGGTGAGTGATACGTACTTGCTGTGCTTGGTTTTGAAGACTGTTGGGTCATCAATATTCTTGCCTCTCTCTCCCCCCTCCTCCCCGGCTGTATTTAGTTTTGATATAGATGACTACACTGCTGCTTGCTTCTCTAGGCATCTGCTGCAGTAACACATATAACTGAGTATTCTACTTTTTTTAAATAATTAAGGGAATCAGCCATGTTGCCTAGTAATACACTGATCCCTCCCCCGCCCCCACAGCATTGGCTGTTTCCATTACTTTATAAGTAAGATTTCATCCCCTGTTATCTGTTACCTAGTTTTGTCATCTTAGACAAATTGCCTCACCTTGCTGCTTCCCAGTTTTCTCATGTAAAAAAAGGGAAAGTTGAACTTGATCTCAGTCTCTTTCTGTTCTTAAAATTCTGTGGATTTCTGCTTCGCTTTGCCATGTGAAAAAAGGAATAGATCTATACGGACTCTACCCAATTTAAACTCTGCATATAAGAAGTAGAGGAATTTTTTTTATTGATGATTTTATTTCATGATCGCTCTTTGTTCATTTCTTTGATCTTTAACTTGTACAGATGGTTAAAGTAGAAAAAGAACTTTAATGATCACTTTACCTTGGTCTTCCACCATTACAATTTCACCATTCCTGTCCTTGCAAAAGTAACGGTCTTAAATCACTGTTTTTCCTGGGTTGTTTCTCATACAGAAACTTGTTTTCTAGACTTGGAGAATACAGTTTCAACTTTTCTTCCCGGCATTCAAATCCTGTTAAAGCTGACTGACCCTAAATGTAATTTTATTTTCCTCAGTTCTACAATTTGACCATTTCCCCCCAGCCAGACCAGTTTCCTCCCAATTCTATATGTAATATCCTTTCCCTAACCTAATTTCTACACAGCATTTAAAATCACCTTTCGTTCCACTTCCTTCTGCGACCAGTTTGTCATACACTAACTAGTGATTTGTCTCTATTGTATTTTTAGAAAAAGTTTAATTGCTATTTACCTTTTCATGTATTTGGCTTATCTCCTCAAATAAACTGTAAACTTCTTGAAGCTAAAGACTATGCCTTTTGATGATTTAGATCCTCTTTAGTTATCATGCACATAGTGGCACACAGTAATTATTTATTGAAAGGTGCAGTAGAGCTTTTGTAGTTTGCTATTGCTGCTGTTGAGATTGCTAAAGTGAACTGATAACTTTCTTTTGGAAACTGATCCAATGACATCAGTGAATGAGAAGGTACAAGGAGCCCTGTCTGGGTGGCTCAGTTGCTTAGAGCATCATCCTGATACACCAAGGTTGCGGGTTCAATTCCCGGTCAGGGCACATACTAGAATCAACCAAAGAATACATAAGTAAGTGAAACAACAAATCGATGTTTTTCCCTCCCTCCCTTCCTCTCGCTCTAAAATCAATAAATAAAAACTTAAAAAAAAAGAACGTACAAGTACGAGATAGGGATGCTAGACACATTTGGCCTTATTTTCAAAGATGAATGTAATGGATAAATGATCACTTATTCGTTTTGCCTCTATAAACGTTCCTCAACATTTCTTTTACCAAAATCACAAGCACTCCATATTCTTTCTTTCTTTTTTTTTATCCTCACCCAAGGATGAGATTTCAGAGAGGGAGGGAGAGAGAAACATCAACGTGAAAGAGAAACACCAATTGGTTGCCTCCCATAAGTGCCCCACCAGGAATCGAACCAGCAACCTAGGTATGTGCCCTGATGAGGAATCGAACCTGCAGCCTTCTGGTGTGTGGGGCAGCACTCCAACCAGCTGAGCCACCTGGCCAGGGCCTTGCCCTTTCTTGTTAACAGAGTAGGGGGAAATGAACTTCTGATTGTCAGACTGCTGTATAGTAGGAAGACTGCAAGCAGTAGAGTTGGGGTCTAGGCTAGGATCTTCCACTGTTCTTTCTGACCACAAACACTCAGCTATTCTGAGCTTCCCTTTATTTATCTGTAAAATGAGGATTATAATAACTTCTTATAAGTACTCTACACTCAGGGCAGAGTGAGGGAGAAAGATGAAATTATGTAAATTAAGATAGAAGAGACTATTTTTGTTATATGTTTATTAAAATACCCTTCTAAGTGTTTTTGTATTCTTAAAAATTCTTGGATTTTAAGCTTCTGGGGAGACAGAGATGTATCTGTTGTTTTATTTTTATTTTTTATGTCATCTAGCTCAGCATCTCATGAAATATTAGTAAGTATTTTTGAAACATATCCTAGATGTATAAATTAAATCCATTTAAAACTATTATCCAGTTCAATTGTTTTTATCACCAACATTCTCAAGTGTTTCCAAAAAGTTGTCTTTTTTAAATCAAACGTTACTTCTTCAGGCATATTGAAGTTAGTATTTGCTTGCTGAACCTATAAATACAAATAAACAACAACAACAAAATGAATTGCTGCTTTTAGAAAATTTCACAAGTAAATTTTTCCATTTGTAAATGACGCCTGATTTATCTATGCAATGTCCCTCTCTTGTTTCTCTCCTCTCTTCCTCCCCTCTCCTTTCAGCTAACACGCTAGGCATTGTGACAGCAAAGATGAATAAGACACATTTCCTGTTCTCAAGGAGCTTCCTGTCTGGTGATATTGGTCTGCACAAGCACTTGAGTACCAAGAATGGTGCCTCAGTAACTGTTAATCATCACAATTGATTAACCAGGATATTTATCTTCCACTCATGGGGGAATCATGTTTCCATTTTTGACAACAAAAAGATCTGCTTTGAGGATATAATAAAACAAACAAAGCCTTGTGTCTCCTGTCACCCTTTGTAGCATCAGCATTTTAGTACAAGGATTAATATAGCATTGCCTTCTGGTTATATATGTGAAATGGAGGTGTGTTTGGAGTTTATCCTATCTAATATTACTTTCCTGACAGGAAAAAGCAAGATCAATGGATGGGAAGTTAGGATTATTCTTTTATTATGCACAGTCCTGAGATATGCCTTCCTGTGTTCACTGGCTTTTTTGTAGCTAGTGGACTAAGTTTTCCACAACAAAGATTTTCAAATATTTAAGAAGTTTTCCTTTCTCCTGTAAATCATCTCTTTTCTACCTTAAACAAATTTAGTTCTAATAATTATTAATTATTGCTTATATGGTAGAGTTTCTTAATTTTCCACTATTATGGCAATTCTTCTGGTTGAACTTGAATCTGCCAGTCCCTCTGACAATACATACTATGTATTTATAAAGTAACACTAGTGGACTGTAGTTTCATGATGAGAGAGAATGGCTGTGTTCCCTTACTCCCTAAGTTTACCTATTCTTACATAGTTTGTAGTTCTCTGTTCTAAATTACTCTTGAGCCCCTGAGGTAAATATAAGGCTGTGATTAATTGCTGGCTCAGTTATTCATTTGTTATAAAGTTTCATTATAGTTGTACAGTTATGAACTGAATTACTGTGCTAGAAACTGTAAGCTCATTAATTTTTCTTTTAAAAATGTTATCATGATTTATTTACTTGCAACTTTTTTCTTGTTTTTCCTTTTTGATTTTCTTTATTTTTTATTTTATTATTTTTTATTTTATTTTACATTACAGACAAACAGAAACTTCTTTCATCTTTCCATTCTCCGATTTATGATAAATTTAGTTTCCTTTGGCCTGGCATTTGCTTCAGCAGGCAGTCTTCCTTCAAGTACCTCCCTGATTGATGTATAATCTTTGATATCTCCCATTAGCCTCCAGGATCACTAAGTTCAAGGCCCCCTTGGAACCTAAGGAGCCCTGCCGAGGAGCTGAAGGCCTTCAGAGTCCTTGGGGTGATTGACAAGGTAATTCTTCTGTGCCTCTTCAAGAGTTCAGTCATAAATCGACTGCATGCTGACATTATGTCTTTGAAGCTTTGGATCTTAAGGATATGAAACAAAAGGAGAAAATGACTCAGATGCATCTGCACTTTAAAATAACAAAAGCAGAAGAGAAAAAGCTTTTATCTAAGCAATTCACGTAAGGTCATGCAAAATGCATTGGAGCTAAAGGAGAGGGTGCCTGTTTATTTGTTGGCCTTCAGTGGAGTAGGGGTTTGGTCTTTTAAATCTGTTATAGCAGGGTAAAGATACACTTTGTGTTAGTGACGAAAACTTGGGAGCCAGTAGTTGTTCAGCATTAACTGGTGTAGACAGTATAATTAGTTGAAAAGAAAAATGGCATCCTCCCAACTACTATTTATTGTGCACCTCCTATGTGTCAGACCATATATGAGGCATTTTATATAAAACAACTTATTTAACCCTTCTCACAACTCCGTTATTTGAATCTTGGTGAGAAAATGGTGTTTAAAACAAGTAACTTGGCCAAAGGTCACTTAGCTAATTTAGGGTAGTATGGGAATCAAACCTAGATCTTTGGTGACTTAAAAATCTGTGCTTTTTCTAATACACTTAATCCCCCTACACACACACACACACACACACACACACACACACTTTTATATTTGGAATAAAAATACTGAGATGACAGAGATATCTGCCATTGAGTTCCCCCAATTTGGTGACATCTCAGATATGTCAGACACAAAGAGTACTGGGCCTCTTAGAGAGTTTACAAGTGTAATTTAAAAACCATACCTAATAAACTGTGTTTTAAATATATTTGATCAACCACTACTTTTACCTTTCAAAGTCAAAGAAAATGCCTTAGTTAATGTTAAGGCATAAATTAATTTAGATCTTTTTCACATTAACATCTTTTATGAAGCACCTTAGTGGTCATTTGTAACTTACTGAGCTCTTCCTTGTGTTCTAAAGTGTGCATGTGATTCCATGCTGAGACTGACCATATGTAGTATATCGCAGGTCATTTAGACAGTAATTGATTGAGGTATTCCAAAAGGAACACTAGGTTGGATATTACATGAAGCTGTCAGTGTCTCATTAAATTCTTACAAGCATCATTTCTCTCAAATAAATTCATATGACTGAATTTTGAACTTAAAGAATTCTACGCAGTAAGACTTTGGAGCCTGAAGTAATGCCTTCACCATGTTTTCCCTAGCTTTCAGAACGATCAATTTGAGAGTACAGAGAAGCAAAATAGGAACTGAATAGTTCCGAGGCTCTTCTTGGATTTCTGTGCAGGCAGATACATTTTTTTGATGTACAGCGTCTGCTTCATGTCTTAGACCTGTTTATTTTGACAAAGTGTGTCCTTTCATTGCTATGCTCTAATCATGAGTAAGTCACCTTGAAGTCCTGATTTATGCAGCTAAGGCCCTTTGATAGTGGAGGAATTCCTGAAGCCTGCCGAGGCTTAATTCATTACTGTCTTCACTCTGTTAACCTGGAAAGTGTGTTTGGTGTTTAGAAGGTGACGTTTAATTTCTCTAAGTAGAGATAAGGAAATATGTATGGGAATTAAATAAGCATATTATTATTACTTTTAAAATTTATTTATTTATTTATTTATTTATTTATTTATTTATTTATACCCTCTTCCGAGGATATTTCTTCCATTGATTTGTTAGAGAGAGTGGAAGGGAGGGGAGAGACGGAGAGAGAGGAACATCGACGTGAGAGAGACACATCGATCGATTGGTTGCCTCCCACAGGTGACCAGGGCTGGGGATTGNACCCTCTCCCGAGGATATTTCTTCCATTGATTTGTTAGAGAGAGTGGAAGGGAGGGGAGAGACGGAGAGAGAGGAACATCGACGTGAGAGAGACACATCGATCGATTGGTTGCCTCCCACAGGTGACCAGGGCTGGGGATTGAGCCTGCAACCCTTCAGTCCACAGGCTGATGCTCTTACCACTGAGGAAAACTGGCTAGAGCAAATCTTTATTTATTGATTTTAGAGAGAGAGAAGAAAGGAGAGAGGGAGGGAGAGAAGGAGACAAAGACGTCCGTTTGGTGGTTCCACGTATCTGGGCATTGGTCGGTTAATTCTTGACTGGGGATGGACCCATGCTGTGTATCATGACGGCTCTCTAACCAGCTGAGTACCTGGCCAGCGCTGGGAGTTAAATAAGCTTTGCAAATAATCTTTTAAAATATGTGACATAGTCTCTACTTTGCAAGACCATGAGTAACTAGATTTCTAAAACTTTGAATTGTTCTTGAGCCTGAATTCCTGCCCGTCGCATTGAGGACCTGAAATCTGTGTTCCACAGGCTTGAAGTGTGAAGGAGAAGGGGTGAATAGGCTGTGGCCAGAAACTGCACGGGATACGTTATTGTAGCCTGCACAGAGCACAGTTTCTCGGATTCTGCTTTAGTACAGTATTTCCTCTTTATGGGTTATTTTGAGTGTTAGTGTATATTAACTTAGGAAAATAAAATTTCCTTAGGATAGGATTGGATTTTAATCTTTTATTTATTTATTTTAAATATATCTTTATTGATCAGAGAGAGGAAGGGAAGGGGAGAGAGAGAGAAACATCAGTGATGTGAGAGTCATTGATCAGCTGCCTCCTGCAGGCCCCGACTGGGTATTGAGCCTGAAACCTGGGCATGTGCCCTGACGGGGAATTGAGCTGTGATCTCCTGGATCCTAGGTCTACACTCAACAGCTGAGCCACGCTGGCCAGGCCCTAAGATAGGATTTTATAAACTTTTATATAGAAAGTAAATAAAGCAGATTAATATCTAGACCGTAAGCTCTTAAAAACAAGATTTTGTCTTTCTTGTTCACATCTGTATTCTCAGCACCTAGAATCATGCTTGGCACATAATGGGCACTCAGTAAATACTTAGTTAATGAATTGAAACTTAAATAACTTTAAATACTCTATTATATATAGAGTGACACCTGCTGGTATAATATGAGACTGCTACCTTGCACCACTGTTCAAGACACTCTGATGTCTTTAGCCAGATGGACAGTAATTCCATAGCTGTATTTTGGGCTAGTATTCAAAGGTAAATAAATGAGTTTTTGTTCTTCAATTGGGATTAGGAAATCCTTCACTAACATATATATGCAGCAAGAAATTTAAGCATTAGGGTTCTTGGATTCTAAATAACGTGGTGTGCATTCAGAAGCGAGAATCATAGGCTGGGGAAGGCCCTCCAAATAATTTCTTACGCAGAACAGCTGAAAAGTGAGTGATGGTTAACCTGATAAAAACATGCTTGGTGTTTATATTTTTGAGGGCTATCCAGTATAGAGGGACTATGTTCAAATCTTGAAGGTGAAAGGGGATATTAATTATGCGAGAATAACATCTTGGACAAACCAGGATGTCTGGCTTTCCTGGGAGAAAGGTAGTAAGGGATGAGGCTTGTTTGTTAAAATCCATATAGGACACAACTAGAACTAAAGGAATATAAGTTGTCAAAATTTTGGCCAGTGATTAGATACCTTTCCAGAATTAGGTTTGACCAAAGGCAGACTGGATTCCTTCATATCTTATTTGTTTCCCGTCATTAGAGATATTCAGGAAAAGCCGAAGGATCTTTGGTGGGGATATTGTAGAAGGAATTCAAGCATTGAATGGATTTTTTATTTTTATTTTTAATTTAGAGAGAGAGAGAGAAAGAAACGTTGATTTGTTGTTCCACTTATTTATGCATTCATTGGTTGATTCTTATATGTGCCCTGACTGAGGATCAAACCCACAACCTTGGCATATTGGGGTGATGCTCCAACCAACTGAGCTACCCAGTCAGGGCCTAGATTTTTATATTATATAACTTTTAAAGATTTCTTTTGACATTATTTCTTTGCCTCCTACAATAAGCCTTCATATCCCTCAAGTGATCAAGCATTTTTCTTCTTATTAAAAAATGAACATTTAATCTATTTTGGCACTGTATTTACAGACATCTGTTAGACAGAAAAGATAGTCTAAGTCCTGTGCTCATGATCTATGTGTTTGGAGAATTCGTCTCTATAACATATCAAACAGCAGCTTGGTGACTATATCTTATTTAATTTTGGATTCTTGGCATTAGCCTAGTGACTTGCAAATAGAAGATACTCAATTTATATGTGTTGAAACTATTATAATTGGCATGCCTCCTCACCACTTCTCTGCATGTCCTTTCCATTTCTGTTTTCTCATTCATTCATTCAGCAAATATTTATTGATCTTCTGCTCTGTGTCAAGGGTGGTATTAGCCCCTGGAGATATAACAGTGAATCAAACACATCATATCTCTGCCCTCTCAGAGTTTATAATCATGTGGGAAATAGAAATTCACTGACAGTTACAATACAGTGTGAAAGTGCTTTGGGTGAAGGAGAAGTGTACACTAGGGTATTGTGAGAACATTCAGGAGGGGCACCTAGCGTGGGGCTCTCCAGAGGCTTCTTAGAGTAAGCAAAGCCAAGAAAGGAGGGCTGAGCAGGATTTAGCTCAGAAGAGTGTTCCAGGCTGAGGGTGTGGGGGACTCATCTAGCATCTTCAGCTCTTCTAGTTCTTTCTTCTTGGCCACCTGTATTTGGGCCATTCTCCAAGACAGCTGCAAGCTTACCCCTCTACAACTCTAACACACACTCATTGTTTCTTTCTTTGAATTAAGTTTAGCATTCAGTTGTGTGTTATCTTCACTTGTATAATTTTAGTGCCTTAAATATGTTGTTAACTTGTCCTAGAGGGCAGGAACTACATCTCTTCCTTTTTATTTTCTCTGATAATGCCTAACTGAATACAGTGCTGTCCATGCAATAAGGATTCAATAAATGCTTGCTGAATAGTTGTAAAGGGAACAAAAAGAGACAATATATGGGTTTTAAGATTTCAAATACTCAGCGAGTCTGCACCTCAAAATACACTACACCTGCAGGATCAGAGCAAGAGGGTAGTTTGAACTGAAAACTGTCAGAACGTTCC